AAATTGCTGGGCATCGTGGTGGGCACCTGTAATCCCAGCTACTTGGGAGGCCGAGACAGGAAAATTGCTTGAACCGGGAGGTGGAGGCTGCAGTGAGCCAAGATCATGCCATTGCACTCCAGCCTGGGCAACAAGAATGAAACTCCACCTCAAAAAAATAAAACAAAAAGCTTGTGGTAATAGCTGTTTCTTCTGGATAGAAAACAGGCCTTGATGACTATAGAACATCAAATAAGACCATGTATCTCAATGAGTTCAATATCACCCCAAAAGGGGTGAAAATAGATTTTTGGGGAAAAAAAAGTTAGATATTAAATGCTTTGTGACCAACCAAAGGGCCACAATACAAAAACAGATACACAGTACATCTGTGATATTAAAATTCCATTGGAGGTAGTCGGGCACAGTGGCTCAAGCCTGTAATCCCAGCACCTTGGGAGGTCAAGGCGGGCGGATCATGAGGCCAAGAGATGGAGACTATCCCAGCCAACGTGGTGAAACCCCATCTCTAGTAAAAATACAAAAATTAGCTGGGCGTGGTGGCATGTCCCAGTAGTCCCAGCTACTCAGGAGGCTGAGGCAGCAGAAACGCTTAAACCCAGAAGGTGGAGGTTGCAGTGAGCTGAGATCATGCCACTGCACATCAGCCTGGTGTCTGGCAACAGAGCAAGACTCTGTCTCAAAAAAAAAAAATTAGCCAGGTGTGGTCGTAGGCACCTGTAATCTCAGCTACTCAGGAGGCCGAGGCACAAGAATCACTTGAACCTGGGAGACAGGGACTGCAGTGAGCAGAGATCATGCAGAGATCACTACATTCCAGCCTGGACGACAGACTGAGACTGCCTCTTAAAAAAAAAATCCATTGGGGAATAGACAATTGGGGAAAAAAAGTCTCAAAATATGATAATTAACAAAAGGTTGAAAAATAATTAGATGACCCTAAAGGACTGAATCTTAGATGAACCCTAAGGACAGAGTGTTCATTAATTTGTATAATGGTCATAGGTAGGGTAACCAACCTGTCCTGGTTTGCCCTAGACTTTCTTGCTTTTGGCACTGAAAGTCCCACATATGGAAATCCCTCTGTCCTGGGCAAATTGGGATGGTGGTCCACCCTCCTCATGAGAGAGATCGATGAAGGCATTCCCATTTCACAAATGAGGTGACACCAAGAAACATAGTGGTTGTCATGGATTCACAGTACTTCAACAGCATTCCTGAGGCAAGACTGGCTCTTTCCATTTGTCTAGTCCTATGATCAGAACTCTCTATCCCTGACTTCCACTTTGGCAGGGAATGTTACTCATGCATGGACTATGCCACTTAACTCTCAATACCAAAGCCAAGGGGAGTAATAGGAGAATGAGGGCAGACACAACCAGCCAGCACAACCACACCCTTGTCTTATAGCTGGTGGAACCCCAAGTCTGGGCTGAACACAGTTCTGTTGCTACTGGATTCTGGGTAGAAATTTGCACAAGAAAGAATGCCCAGTATAAAACCCTCAGAAGTTAGGAAAATTCCATGAGGTTCTCCACATGTGTCTGAGCAGCCTGGATCTTTTACAAGGTTTTTGTCCCAAAGATAAACTTATCGCTTATGCTAGGAATCAGGGGTTGCCCAAAGCCTCACTCTGAATGGCAACAGGCTATTCTCCTACTCCCCTACTCAGCAGTGAAATCCTTGGTGAAAGTAAATGAAGAAAAGGGCAGGATATTCCCTCTTTAGACTACGTATAATTAAAATACAAGTCTCTCTGCTTAGAAGACTAACGTTTGCAGTTCAAGGCCAACTCAGAGAAGGATAAAATATTCATCCTCACTCAGAAAGAGAAAAGATTAGCTCCACAAGGATGGGTCTCCAAACTGACACCAAATCCAGGAGTTAGAGATGTCTGTGCTACAGAGCGTGATCCAAGCACCAGCTAGAGCCCTTGGAGAAAAATCCCTAGGAATAGCGACCAAGGGACTAGCATTGTAAGAACGTTCAGATTAGCGCTCCTGAAAAGAGGCTTTCTCCAAGGACTGGCAGACAGCCTCTGCAGCAGAGCTTCACTTAGGAAAGTACAGAAATGAAGGAAGAAAGACAAGGGGCAGTCTGACCAGATCAGAGTATGAATTCACACGCATGTGAAAAAGAAAATCCAACTATTTCGAAAAAGGTACAACTTCCTTTTAGAGACTGTCATGTTCTTTTGAATATTCTCATTAAGAGCTCATCTTCATTCTTTGAGGGTGAAAACATTTATTCCATTCCTATGTCCCAAGAGCTTTCATGTGTATACCTCATTTAACCACCCTTCAAAATAAGTATTATTCCCACTTTTATGTAGCGGTACACTGAACCTCAGAGGTGAAGTAATTTGTCCAAGGTTATGTGGCCAATAAGTGGTAGACTCAGAATTAAAACTTACATTCACCACCCTTCAAAAATCTGTTATTTCCACTTCAAAAGAACCGTTAACTCATCTGACGACAAGTCAGGTGACAAGGCTGCTTACCCATGCCATTCGGGGATAAATATATGCAGGCTGTATGCAGTGGCTCACACTTGTAATCTCAACATTTTAGGAAGCTAAGGCAGGAGAATCGCTTAAGGTCAGGAATTCAAAAACAGCCTGGGCAACACAGCCAGACCCTGTCTCTACAAAAATTAAAATTACAAAATTAGCTGGGCCAGGTGGTACACCCCTGTAGTCCCAGCTACTCAGGAGGCTTTGGTGAGAGTATTAAACCCAGGAGTTCATGGTTGTAGTGAGCTATGATTACGCCACTGCACTGCAGCCTGAGCAGAGTGAGACCTCATCTCAAAAATAAATAAATAAATTATACACACACACACACACACACACACACACACACATATATATATATATATATATATAGAGAGAGAGAGAGAGAGAGAGAGAGAGAGAGAGAATGGTTTAATAAGAAACTGATCTCTCACATGGTTCAAAAAGTTCTCTGAAAACAATTCCAGAAGCAGATTTTCAAAACTGCCTTGGACAACAGCCAAGTAACTTAGGGATGCCATACTCAACTCCTACCACCTACACCTGCACACACCACTCTAAAGGAGAACATTCATTGGTGGATTAAGTTCCCACATGCCTGTTATTTTAAAATCCATCTAGTTACCTTTCAGTTTCACTTAATTAGCCTTTTCTCCTGGCAATGAAATACACCAGGGCTCACAGGTGGCCTCAGTAGAGAAGTAATAGCTGGCCTTCAGAAAACAGGGAAGGGAAAGTGGGAATCAAAGTACTAGGCAACTTTTCATTCCTGGACTGCCACGTTCTTACTAACACTTCTATCACCTGTAAAATGGGAGCAGAAAGTCTCTTCTATTGCCAATTTCATCAAAACAGCACACGTAATCATGAGCAGATTAAATTCACTGAACAACTGAAAAAAAGGTGAAATAAATCTGGTGTGGCAACACCATCTTGAAAACCCAGGGGCCATGTTCTCAACTAAAACCATAGACCAAGTTCTAACCCATGTTGTACCAATTTCAATCCCAATATCGTTACACTCTGACTCCCATCAAAATCCTACCCATTTCCGAATCTGGCTATATTTTTATCAGAAAGAAAAAAACTTGGGTGGGGTGAGAGCTGAAAAGACACACACAACAAAATATCTTTCACAATATCAAAAAAAAAAAAAAAAAAAAAAAAAAAATAAAAAAAAAAAAAAAAAAAAAAAAAAAAAAAAAAAAGTTTATAGGCCACAGCAGTGGCTCACACCTGTAATCCCAGCACTTTGGGAGGCCGAGACGGGCAGATCACCTGAGGACAGGAGTTCAAGACCAGCCTAACACGGAGAAACCCCGTCTCTACTAAAAATACAAAAGTAGACGGGCATGGTGGTGCATGCCTGTAATCCCTGCTACTCAGTATGTGAAGGCAGAAGAATCGCTTGAACCTGGGAGGCGGAGGTTGCAGTGAGCAGAGATCACACCATTGCACTCCAGCCTAGGCAACAAGAGCGAAACTCCGTCTCAAAAAACAAAAAAATGTGTATAAGCACATCAGTTTCTTACCTTAGCAAATACAGAAGTTTCATTCCCCTCCTGTCTACTTAGTGTGGGTTGACTTAACCCCCTTCTCATCTCTCAGAGCAGTTTATGGTTTTATTTCGGTTTCTTGACGTGGGCTTTAATCGAAGCCATTTAAAAATATTAGAAAACTGACCTTACATGTATAGGTAGTCAAATATTTTTTAAAGACATCAAATGGCATTCTAATTCCTCCGGTGCAAAGAAAACCCCAGCCCTGGCCTCACAGGTGTTAGCATTTCCCGATTCCTGGCTTTCCCCACTCAGAACCCCATTCCAGGGATTCATATGTCAAGGCATTCTCTCCTGACTTCTGAAGCAAGGATTTTCAAAGCCAGGATTCTGGAACCACCTGAATGAGAACCACCTGGGGTAATAAGCACTGCAGCTGCCCACGCACCACCTTATCCAAAATCCCTGGGGATGGAGTCCAACGCTTAAGCACAAACCCTCTAAGCGATCTGAGATAACAACCAAAGTATGTAACATCTAAATGCTAATTTTCTATCTTCCAGGACAAAAGAAAACAAGCAACAGGACAGTGGCAATACTTCCACATGGCAGGAGACACACGGGTCTCGGAGATCAACACCCAAGCCACCCCTTCTTCGGACAGATATGGAAACCGAGGCCGGGAAAATGAAACAGGGAAGGACATTAAAAACATGCGGAGCCAAAGCCAATCTCGAATTTCCACGGCCTCATCTCCTGCCAATAAAGAGGTGAATGGAGACACTCTGAGTGCGAAAGGCAAGAAAGATGGGCCTTAGGCAGGGAGCCCCGGGCCCACATGGACGACCCGCTTTGGAAACACTAGTGAGGATGTGTGGGTCCCGAGAACACTGCTGCGAAGACGCCGAGGCCGCCGGCAGGAGGTGGCCCAGTTAGCGCCCTGAGCCCCCCGCCCAGCTCCAGGGCCGGGCGGCCCTCACCGCCCCTACCTTCGGCTTCCCGCAGCCGAGTGGCAGACACAACCCCCACAATTCCAGGCGGCCGCGGCGGCGACCAGCTCCCCCTGCGCAAACGCAGCGGCGACCGTCTCAGCCCGTGAGCTGGCGACTGTTACGCCGCTCGCGACCTCGCCCAATCGCCTGCCGCCAGAACAGCGCGCCGCGCCCCTCTCCGGCACCGAGTCAGGAGCCCCGCCCCTAGCACCGCCCTTCGCAGAGTCCTGCACGGACTGCCCCCGTGCCCCTCCTCCGGGAGAGAGAGGGCTAAAGAGATGCCTGCACACCTGCTTCTGCTTACAGGCTGGAGCTGCAAGTTTCCTCTCTGATTTTCCAACAACGTAATTTCTTTCTGGCGGAAGGACCTTCAGAAAGCAATCAGAGGGGTGCGGGTAAAAATAAATTAAATCAAGTTCCTATGATTCAGTTTGGGACAGAAGCCGAGAGTCTCAAGCAATAAAGTTTCTCGCAAATTCATGCAAAATAGGACACCTGTAAGTCACTCACTTTATATACTTGTGTATTGTGTAAATTTTTGACAAGGACCAATTATTTTAAAAATAGCATCAGGTGAGCGGTGGCCCACACCTGTAATCCCAGCACTTTCGGAGGCCGAGGTGAGTTCGAGACCAGCCTGGCCAACATGGTGAAACTCCGTCTCTACTAAATATACAAAAATTAATTGGGCGTCATAGCGAGCGCCTGTAATCCCAGCTACTTGAGAGGCTGAGGCAGGACAGTCGCTTGAACCCACGAGGCAGTGGTGGCAGTGAGCCAAAATTGTTCCACTGCACTCCAGCCTGGGCGACAAAGTGAGACTCTGTCTCAAATGTAATAAAATAAAGGTCACTTGCAGTTCTGATTCTTTTTTTAAGACAGGGTCTTGACGTCCCAGGCCCAAGGGATCTTCCCCCTCAGCCTCCAGTAGCTGGGACCACAGGCGCGTGGTCCCGCTATTTTTTTTTTTTTTTTTTTTTTTAGCGGACAGGGTGTCGCTATGTTGCCCAGGCTGGTGTCAATGCAGTTCTAATTCTGCTTTACCATTGAATATCATATTTTATGCGTCAGGTGCTGCATATACATTATATTTACTTAGAACGTCCTCTGAGCAGAATGGTCATCCCCTTTTTATAAATGGGGAAGCTGACACTCAAAGAGGCTAAAGGAGTTATACAAAGTCATACGATCAGGAAGTGGTAGAACTAGGAGTTCAAGCTTTCAGGTGCCTCCAAGGTCCTGTTCTCTTTACACTGTTCACCTTTAGACCTTCGTCTTGCCCAGACATGCTTAACCTAATGAGTAAAATGGCTGCCCCCTGCCGGGCTTGGTGGCTCATGCCTGTAATCCCAGCACTTTGGGAGGCTGAGGCGGGTGGATCACAAGATCAGGAGTTTGAGACCAGCCTGGCCAACATGGTGAAACCCCATCTCTATTAAAAATACAAAAATTAGCTGGGCATGGTGGCAGGCGCCTATAGTCCCATCTACTCAGGAGGTTCAGACAAGAGAACTGCTTGAACCTGGGAGGTGGAGGTTGCAGTGAGCTGAGATCACACCACTGCACTCCAGCTTGGACTACCGAATAAGACTCTATCTCAAAAAAAAAAAAAAGCCTCCCCACTCCTACCCTCAGAGCCCCCACACAGTGATTCCTGGTCATTCATGAGTGGAGGAAAGGATAATCCAGACAAGCAGTGACCTCCCCAGGTGGCAATATTCCCCAATAGCAAACAACCTATCTATGTAGTTCTTTGCCTTTTCCATGTACTATATGAGTTTCTAGTAGTCAATTTACCTTCTTGATTATGTTTACTTCAAGCATATGGGAAACTGACTTCATAGCCACTGAGCAAACCTTGGTTAGTAGTCTGGGAAGGGAGAACAAGCCCCTGGGCAGTAGTTCAGTGAATAGTACCAGTTTATGAGAAGGGTCTAGATAAAACATCTGGGGCCTGAGTTGGAAAGAGAGTAGCTCACTTTTCTCCTGGAACACACTGGAGACCAGTGAGAAGAAGTGGGCCTAAGAATAATTCTAGCTTATGTCACTCCCTAGTACCATGAGGACAAATAATAAATGTTCAACAAATACCTATCTCATGAGTGATAAATTACAGAATGAACATATAAATTATAATTGAGACTGGCATAAGTTATAAAAAAGATATTAATAAAGTGCTACAAGAGTAAGAGCCTTAAAAATAGAATAAGCTCAAATCTTATAATAGCATGAATAAATGAATGCTTGGGCCAAGAGAAGAGTCCAGCTGAACACAGCTGCCAGCGCTCAAAGCAAGGCCTGTCTTTCTCCTTGGGACAGATCAAACCAGCTCAAGTCTGTGGTAGGAAAGGGATAGTCTGCCTCCCACTCCCACCCCAGCCCCAGTCTCCAAACCTTGAAAAACCCTGCCATGGTCTGAATGTTGGTGTTTCTCCTAAATTCGTAAGGTGGAACCTCATATCCAATGTGATAGTATTAAAAGGTGGTCAGGTTGAAGGGAGCTGCCTTGCATCTTCTGCGATGGATCTCCACTTCCACCATGTGAAACTAAGGCCGCAAGGCACCATCTTTGAAACAGAAAGCAAGCTCTTACCAGCCCCTAAATCTGTTGGCAGTTTGATCTTGGATTTCCCGGTCTCTAGAACAGTAAGCAGTACATTTCTATTTATAGATTCCACAGCCTAAGGTTTTTGTTATAGTAGTTCCAACAGACTAAGACATACCCTGACACAACTACCTTCTCAGAGGAACTTGCTCTGAAATCAAGCCTGTGGAGCTGCTGAAGCCAGTGTGCAGGGTTGAACCTAAGCAGACAGCCTCTACTTACACGGTCCCCAAGCAAGGAGGCCCACTGTATAGGTGAGAAGTTTGAAGTCCAGGGATCACAGTGGGTGCTGGGATTGTGGTAGTCTCCTCTCTTTGTTTCCTTGTATAAGTCTTGGAACTGGGCAAAAGTAAGTTTAAAATTTTCTTTTGGGCCAGGCGTGATGAGCCGTGCCTATAATCCCGGCACTTTGGGACGCCGAGGCAGGTGGAATATCTGCGGTCAGGAGTTCAAGACCAGCCTGGTCAACATGGCAAAACCCCATTTCTACTAAAAAATATAAAAATTAAGGCCAGGCACAGTGGCTCACACCTGTAATCTCAGCACTTTGGCAGGCTGAGGTGGGCAGATCATGAATGAGGTCAGGAGATCGAGACCATCCTGGCCAACATGGTGAAACCCCGTCTCTGCTAAAAATACAAAAATTAGCTGGGGCTGGTGGTGCGTGACTGTAATCCCAGCTACTCAGGAGGCTGAGGCAGGAGAATCGCTTGAACTGGGGAGTCAGAGGTCACAGTGAGCCGAGATCACACCACTGCACTCCAGCCTGGTGATAGAGCAAGACTGCGTCTCAAAAATAAATAAATAAATAATTCAAAAATTAGCGAGCCATAGTGGCGGGCACCTGTAAGTCCAGCTACTTGGGAGGCTGAGACAGGGAGAACTGCTTGAACCTGGGAGGCAGAGCTTGCAGTGAGCCAAGATCATGCCACTGCACTCCAACCTGGGCGACAGAGTGAGGCTCTGTCTCGAAAAAAAAAAAAAAAAAAAAAGGTCGGGCGCGGTGGCTCAAGCCTGTAATCCCAGCACTTTGGGAGGCCGAGGCGGGTGGATCACGAGGTCAAGAGATCGAGACCATCCTGGTCAACATGGTGAAACCCCGTCTCTACTAAAACTACAAAAAAATTAGCTGGGCATGGTGGCGCATGCCTGTAGTCCCAGCTACTCAGGAGGCTGAGGCAGGAGAATTGCCTGAACCCAGGAGGCAGAGGTTGTGGTGAGCCGAGATCGCACCATTGCACTCCAGCCTGGGTAACAAGAGTGAAACTCTGTCTCAAAAAAAAAAAAAAAAAAATTCCAGATTCTCCCCAGACACCGAGGATGGGATCATGGAGCCCCGAACCCTCCTCCTGCTGCTCTTGGGGGCCCTGGCTCTGGCCCTGACCGAGACCTGTGCTGCAATGCCCCGAGTGGGAGAGGGGAGCTGCAGGTGCCGTGGATGGAGCAGGAGGGCCCGGAGTATTGGGACCGGGAAACACTGACCCTCAAGGCCAGGGCACAGACTCACCGAGGGAACCTGGGGACCCTGCTCCGCTACCACAACCAGAGCGATGCCGGGTCTCACACCCTCCAGACGACCTATGGCTGCGACCTGGGGCCTGATGGGTGCCTCCTCCACGGGTATTACCAACATGCCTTTGATGGCAAGGATTACATTGCCCTGAATGAGGACCTGCGCTCTTGGACAGAGACTGACATGACTGCGCAAATCACCCAGCGCAAGTTGGAGGCCGCCCATGAGGCGGAGGGGCTCAGGGCCTACCTGGAGGGCACATACCTGAAATGGCTCCGCAGATACCTGGCCAAGGGGAAGGAGACATTGTAGCATGCGGATCTCCCAAAGATCCGCATGTCACCCATCATCCTGTCTCTGACCATGAGGCCACCCTGAGATGCTGGGCCCTGGGCTTCTACCCTGCGGAGATCACACTGACCTGGCAGCGGGATGGGGAGGACCAAACTCAGGACACCAAGCTTGTGGAGACCAGGCCAGCAGGGGATGGAAACTTCCAGAAGTGGGCAGCTGTGGTGGTGCCTTCTGGAGAAGAGCAGAGAGGCACGTGCCATGTGCAGCACAAGGGATGGGAGATGGTAGCCCCTCACCCTGAGATGGGAGCCATCTTCCCAGCCCACCATCCCCATCATGGGCATCATTGCTGACCTGGTTGTCCTTGGAGCTGTGGTCATTGGAGCTGTGGTCACTGCTGTGATCTGGAAGAGGAAGAGCTCAGGTGGAAAAGGAGGGAGCTACTCTCAGGCTGCATGCAGGGACAGTGCGCAGGGCTGTGATGTATCTCTCACGGCTTGTAAAGCCTGAGACAGCTGCCTTGTGTGGGACTGAGATGGGAGATTTCTTCACGCCTCCCCTTTCTGACTTCAAGAGCCTCTGGCATCTCTTTCTGCCAAGGCATCTGAATGTGTCTGCGTCCCTGTTAGCATAATGTGAGGAGGTGGAGAGAAAACCCACCCCATGTCCACTGTGACCCCTGTCCCCACACTGACCTGTATTCCCTCCCTAGTCATCTTTCCTATTCCAGAGAGGTGGGGCTGAGCATCTCCATCTCTGTCTCAACTTCAT